TTAATCTATATATATAAAAATCAATGTTCGAGGGGTATCCGGATATGCGCTCCTACACCACTTATCCGATTACGATGAAACTTTGGTAGGTTGTTATGGCCATCCCAAGGAAGGTTTGTGGATAGGTTACGCATCTCGGAAAAAGAAATTAATTTTGAATTGATTATTAATTTAATTGTAAACAAACTCATTCACATTACATAACAACATAACCCAACTTTTTTTTGATAACATGAAACGACGTTGCCATATTTCATTTATTTAGGCTTGCCATTCAACATTCAACCGACGTAACTTTATTATTTTTTGAATTCGAGAACGGTTGGACCGATCTTGAATTTAATACCACGTATCTCTATATAAGCTGAATTCGATTGACCCAGATTAGATCGATTTGGGTTCAATTTAAGTGAACTTCTGATCTAGATCATTTTTTTGTTGATGAGGGTGCACTGATCCAGCCTCAATCGAACACAGTGTGGTTCACTTAAATTGAACCAGATCGATCTTATCCGGTCAATCGAATTCGGCTATAGAGGAGAGTGATATAGGCTATTTTTTATGCCTTGAATGCCTATAAACAGCCCGGGGCGCTCTAGAGCAGCTCTGGAGTGCCTAAAATGCGTCACTGAACTCACTGGCAAGCGACTCTGGTATCGGATAAAAAAAAAAATTAAATAGAAAATCAACAACAAAATTTGAAAAAAAGTGTATTATCTCAAAATGTATTTTCACGCTGGCAACGCAGCGGGTCATTAGCTATGTATTATATTTCAATAATAACCTCGTCCGCTGCAAGTGAGTTTGAGCGGGCGGCTATGAGCGTAAACGTACTTGCGCGGCAGATCCCATCAAAATGGCATTTTTGCTCATTATTTATTTTTTCCATTATTTTACGAGTATTATTAGTGATTTTTTATAATTTGGATATTTTGTTGAGTATTTCTTAGTGTTACACTGAGACGTTCCTTAGGTGATATACCCTCTCTGAAGTTGTAGTCTTTGCTGATGATTGGCGTTATCACATTGGCAATGTATGAATAGGTCTGAGGGCGCATTCGATAATAATAAAAAAAGGTATGGGGATCTCTCTCTAATTCACGATGGAGATGGTGGAATTCGCCGAGATGCGCCCTCTTTTCTAATATAGGATTCACCGAACATAATCGTCTTTTTATAACTCTTTTACACCTTATCTGTAATAAGGAATTTCTAAAAAATACAGATCTTCTGCATTCATTTTAAATTTAATAAACACAAAACGCAAAAACCACAATGAGCAGCACAAAACCGTTGCCGCCAGTGCCCAATGGACGACCTCGTCGCACGAGTTCGCTTCACTCATAGCCGCTTTTTGACGCTCGTGTCGCGTGAGTTCGAATTCGCTTGTTTTCGCTTCCAGTGGACGACCAGCCTTATTTGTTCATTCAAGCACGAAGAACTTTGACACCGATACTTTTCGACTTATGTTAATGCACTTTTACTTTTTTTATTAGCACAGTTAATTTTTTACATTCTACCAAACCTGCCATGGTTGAGTACTTCAATCTAATCTTCTAATCTAACATTTCCTTCCAACCAAATCTGATCTTGATGCATTGTCCGGAAATTCTAGCTGACAACGTGTCCTTTAATCCAGCAAATTTTGAAATAGGCGAGCTTGGTTTCTTGTTCACCCTTATAATGATTACCTGAACTATATCGTGATCACTTAATTTGTTTTCTTAACACAGTTGTGGCAGTAGCTTCAATATTTGTAATAGTAACTTTCATCGTCTGCATGACGCATGTACGAGACTCTCAAAAGCGACGTCTGTCAATAGACGGCTCGACAAACAAAACATGTTCTGTGCAAAACATAGAACATGCATATGTAAATAATGCCATTTTTCACATCTTCAACTTTGCAATGCTTTCCTCACACCCAAGCAGGGCTTCGGAAAGTTAAGAAAAGTTATGGAACTCGTTCGACTATCACTTTTACAATCACCAAACACACATCGCTTCACCACCCCTTGATAAAAACATATTACGTTCCCCAAAAACTTCCATTGTTATTAAATTTTTAAGCCCAAAATTGAAAAAAATTAATAACATTGACGTTGCTATTTATAGGTTGTGTGACTTTGTTTGTCGACTTTCTGCCAAAGTCAGTCATAATGAAATCTTCTATTACAACATGAATTATACTTTCCGTTACTTTTATAACTTGGGTAACTGCTTGTTCAAGGCCAAATGCAGCCATTCAATTTACCAATTGGTAGAATTCGGAGATCCATACGCTCCCACAAAGATGTTTTGGTCAATTTCAAACCAACAAAGCAACGATAAATTTTGTGAGGTAGTTGGAATTTCTTCCCGACGTTTCGCTAGCACACTGACGCGTTTCCGACCGTAGGTTGTATTTATGTGTGAGTGGTTGTAGATCAATCTCACGGTTCGAGTCCTTACCGAAAAGGAAACAGCCGTCTTGGCGAAAGGCGGTAATTTCGCAATCACTCCACGACACCTGCCAACGGAGGAGATTATAGCCGGGACTGAAGCAGCCATCAGAGCACTGCCTAATGTGGACGCAGAAGAAATCCGTATTGAGATTGAGATGGCTAACATTCTACAAAAGGCTTGACCACCAACCAGTAGCCTCTCTAAGAAGGAACTATGGCAATTAAAAACCTGGATTCAGCGGAAGATATTATCATCCTACCTGCGGATAAGAGCAACGCAACTGTCCTGTTAGGAACTGAGGACTACAACCGGAAAATTCAGGAACTCCTTGATCCATCGACCTGCCGAAAGCTAAAGAAGGATCTCACACAAGCCATACTCCGGAACATTAGTAAACTGATTAGGTCATCTACCCTAAAAGACACGGTTAAGAAAGGCATCATGAAAACAAAAGCGGTTTCACCACGACTCTACGGCCTTCCCAAAAATCACAAACCTGAAGTCCCGCTAAGACCGATAGTGACTGCACCTGGAGCATCAACATTACAACCTAGCGAAACATCTTGCATCGCTTCTTCAACCGCATGTGGGAAAAACTAGCTCTTACGACAAGGACTCCACTCACTTTGTCCAGAAAATTCGGGATATTATTCTCCAACCTGAGGATATCTTGGTCAGCTTTGATGTCGTGTCTCTATTCACAAAAGTGCCATTGACAGAATCTCTTGTCTTGATATCAAGTACCTTCCCCAATGACATAGTTGGGCTTTTCCGAGAATGTCTCACTGGCAGTTACTTTCTGTGGAACGGCGATTTCTACGAGCAAACGGACGGTGTACTTATGGGAACTCCGCTTAGCCCGAGCCAACTTCTTCATGGAGGATTTCGAGAGGTAAGCCATCAGATCTTTTGACCATAAACCAACGGTATGGATCTGATACGTAGATGATGCCTTTGTGGTTTGGAGTCATGGGAAAGACGAGCTTAATCAGTTCCTGGGCCGCCTGAACGCGCAACATCCTAGCATACAATTTACGATGGAAAAAAAGGAAAACCAGGAAATCGCCTTCTTAGATGTGCTCATAAAGAAATCTAGAGGAAAACCAAGCCACACAGTGTACTGAAATCCTACATACACATACATGTACCTGCATGCACTCTCAAACCACCATCCAAGGGAAAAACGTAGAATTATAACAACTTTAACAGAACGTACTCGGAACATCTGCGAGCTACAACATCTCGAGGAAGTAGGTACTGGATTGCCTCAAGTCGGCCTTTCTATCAAATGGATACAATGCATCTGAAATCGACAGGGCCATGTCATATAGGTTCTAGTAATGCTTTATTTTTGTGTATAAATGGTATCCATACTAATCATGTTTTTTGAGGTCTAACACCCAGGGTAATTATATGATTTGTAAATACTAGCTCCCCATACTGCTTCAAGGTTTAAGATAATCTTTTCGCCCTATTAAATCGAATAAAATCATTGTATATAAAATGTAAAATGAGCTTCAAAAGAAATGTAACCTAATTGTTTGTGGTTGTTTCAAGAAAAAAGTCACTTTGAAACCAAAGTGAAGCTAGGTACAAATACTTTCTTCCATTCCTAACAGTTAGCTTAACATCTGTTATCAACTCCGTCAATCATACCGATATAACATCTACTGTTATCATAGGACCCATATGTAGGTAATCTTATTCCTACGTAACGTAACTCCTCTACTTTCAACAAACACTTGCATGAACAACCCCAAACATTTAAAGGTAACTTTTATTTAGTGTTTGTTCTCACACAATTATTGATGCACCTATACTTTCTATACTGACATTTATTTTGATCATGTTCGCCATTACATCTTGGAAGTACTCAACACTTAATTCCATTTCTTAGATATATTCAATTGGTGAAATGCAAATCTTTTGGCTGGTTCTTAATTTTGCTTTGCTATATAATTTTAAACTTTTCAAACGAATTAAGGAAATTTTCATCTATTTATGGGATATTTGCAACTAGAATTTGAACAGTGCCTGAGGTGAGTTTGTTTTTCAACACTTTTGCATCACTCACTTGCCAGTCACATTATAAGAAGTGCGATAGGGACATTTTTATAGTCCTCTCACATAAATGGCGCACATGTGATAAACAACATTTTATCTATACCTAACCGCTTTAATACAAAAATAATGGTTCAACGTCATTTTAATTTGAAAATTCATGTTTTCACACTAGTGCGATAGGTAATGTTTTCCATCATACTAAGATTGTCAAAAATCATCGGGGCTAATACCATATCGCAGTAATTGTAAAATACGTCATTGGTCTTATAGTGAAAGTCACATGAGTGAAATAAAATAATCAACAAAATAAGCCTTTATTCTATAGGTGTTATCAAATATCTGCTGCTAAGATTCTTATAACACTCGTTCGCCAGTGACTGTTTATGATGATGAGATCGAATATTTCACCAGACCTTATCGATAAGATAGACAATAAAAACTGGTGTTTGAAAAATAGTTTTAATTAATTTTCGGTGGTATTATTTTTTCAGATACACGGAAATGCTTTAATTAAATTATCGACTGCTGTTGTTTTAGCTGGTGGAAGCCAGAATGAAGATAACATGTCAACTGGTGTCACAACTAGGTCAGAATGTCATTTGCTTTTTGTGGGCGATCCAGGAACGGGTGAGTTTCTTATCAAGTTTGTAGCTAACATAAAATAGGTCAAATGAAAACTGCACACTCACTTAGCTCATAATATAAAAATAATAATGTTTGACCAAATGCAACGAAAAGGAATGGTAATTGGTAATATTGTATGTTACTGTATTTGAACCCTTGCCAACAAATCATAATTATAAAAGAGCAGATTCCGTCACGCTAGAGAGACGTAAACAACTGGATTCTTAAAATCTGGCCTAGATCTTGATGCACTTTCGTACAACTGCCTACTTCTCAAACCAGAGATAGCCCTGATCTGACCATTTATTTATCCTGCTATCATTTTACCTTTGAGGCTGCGTTGGATTCGATATACCACGTCGTTGAGTATAATCGTGTACGGGCCTTTCCAGACTGGTGTTCGCTTGGGAAATCTACCATTCTTTCTTTGCAGATTGTAAAGCGAAAATTTGTCTCCGCAGATCGTCAGCATAGTTTTTGGCTTTGATGAGGGCGACCTCTGGCGACCCGAAAACCAAGTCACAGCTGTTCTGCATGCCATCAGAAATAGAGGTAAATACTCATTCCAATCGTGCTGATGCTTGTCAACTACTTTGGAGAGATGTTCCTGCATCGTCTTGTTGAACTCTTCAACGCCTCAACCATGCCATCTAATTGTGGATGCAATGCCGTGGTTCTGGTCTTGTGAATAGCAGTTCGTTTTGGAACTAGTCGTGACTCGAACTCGCGCCCTTGATCCGGATGAAGTTCCAATTGGATTCCAAATCTAGTAAAAACATTGTTGACGAGGACTTTAAACTATAGACGCTTCTTGATTTGGAATAGCAAAAAGTTCAGGCCACTTGCGTAAAGAATCCATGGCAACCAGTAGGTATGAATTTGTTGCCATTGCACGTCACCGGGAATGCCCGGCTATGTCTATTTCCATGCATTCGAAGGATATTCCCTTAGATGCCTAGTTGCGTTTTAACCACTTTACAGCAAAGAATATTATAGCTAACGTTGCGATAGGTATAATATTCTTTGGTTTCAGTAAACTATTCTCGAATAGCAGTGAGTCCCATTGATCCCACATCGCCTTGAAAGTTAAGCTTCTTAGTGAAATTTCATGTCAGGTCTAGATTTTTCGAATTCCTTTGGATTCAAAAATCGTTTGATGTCACTATCTTGTAATTCGTCACTTCTAAGCTGTTCGGAATCTCATTCTTGATTGATTTCGAATCTAAGACTTCTAACACGCAGTTATTTACTATCCTTTTGCCATAAGGGTGTGTCAACTGACACTAACTTCACTTATTTATTAGGTGAAAATTACCATACGGAAAAATTATGCTAAAATGACCCATGAAATTTTGACGCTAGCTCCCTGTGAAGCCGGTTCACTCAGAAAAAAAAACATTCAGGATAACAATACCAATGCCTATATCAAAATGATTTTTGGTAGGTAATTCTTTTAAACCCTCTAGCAGTCATTTAGGAAACAGCTTATCACAAAAGATATTCTTCCTGAAGTTAAATTTGTGCCTAAAGGTTTTGGTGTACCTACTATTTATAGCCATTTTATCTAAATACCAGTCTCGCTATTATGTTTTTTTGGGGCTTGTAGCAGTTAATTTATGTTTTGTGTTTTGGCCATTCGCAAGAAATACATTCTCTCCTCTCAAAATCTTGCTTAATAAAGAGTTTGCATTAATGATTTTTTTCAGCGATAATATTCACATATTTGTGAAGTGATTTAGAGGAATGCAACAAGTTCATATTTGCATAAATAATTCTATAACGACTCTACGGCAGACGCAGACCATGTTTTATGATTGGATTTTCAATATTAAACGCATCTGCCCCATAAAAACATTTTATCCAGGTGTAACATGTAACATGGTAACACACCTAATCGAAATGTTATCAAAGTTATCGGTATAGGTACATTACCACACAAGTTTGAAAAAACGTATATGCTTGGCGTTGTGAGCCAGTAACATCTAATTTTTCCTTTTATACTTAGTTGATATTATGTGCTATTTTGTGCCTGAATACTCTTGACACAGAAGTTCAAAAATTTCAAATTTTTTTTCAGGAAAGTCACAGATGCTGAGATTTGCCTCAAAAATAATGCCAAGGGCTATCTTGACAACAGGCGTTGGCACCACAGCTGCCGGTCTGACAGTTACCGCAGTAATGGTAAAACATTTTAATTTATTTGTGTGATATTTTTATAATAATAATTGTTAATTTTAAAATACTGAAATCCAGGGATTTTATTGTTCAAATGAATCTATTCCGCATTTGCTTTTAAGTGAACAGATTGTTAAATATTTGCTGCTAGTGTAAGCTTCTGATAGTTGGCAACACTTGGAAGATCATAAAAACCGTTTTATTGGGCAAATCTTTAGAGTCTTGCCCGATATGCCTGAAATTTCGTTCGGTTCATACGAAATTGTAGAGAAACTATAAAAGATATCAATTTCTATTAGATACTGATTTAAGATTTTTGTTCGAAATATCACGGGAAAGTGAAAAAGACCCCTATAGTAAAATAATGCCGTTTGGAGGCGAAATTGAGATATTTCCAGATCTCAAGTCACATTCTGACTTTTAATTTTTTTCTTGAACACTATCCATTCCTTTGCGTAAGGTTGTTCCTTCTACCTGACGGACATTCCCAACTTCTTCAAGTACCTACTTCTTCCATTGCATTCTTTGAGTTTCATATCTTACCCTTCTAAGATTTTCTCTTCTCATCTTTATCTTTTTTTTTATATTGGTCTGCTCACAAAAGACAGAGTCTATACTACCTAAGCGGTACCAAGAGCGGAAGAAACTAAGTGATGATTAACACTCCGTTTGAACACGTTAAGATTAAATCGTTCAGAAAATGAAGTAGGAGGCAGGGAGTTCCAGAGCTGGAGAGTACGCCTCCAAAAAGGAGCCCTATATTTAGGGGTCCTCGGGGTAGCCAATTTTACCATATACGGATGGAATGCCTGTGAGGTTCTTGTATAAAAACTACTGACCATAATTTGATATATAGGGTATACGCGTGACAGTTGATAGCGGTCAAGGACACATTTTAACAAAACAGGTACCTAGTTGTTTACTTGAATGGTTGCCATTTTAGAATATGGATCGTTTTTCCACCGCAGACGGGACCACAAGTCACACAACACGATATAACCGGGCTTTGTTAAAAGAAAAGTTTCCAGGACGAGTTATTTTGAGATTGACTAATGTGAATTGACCAACACGGTCCTGTGATCTAACATCGTTGGACTTCTTCTTGTGACGATATGTGAAAGATAATGTTTATGCCAACAACCTTCTAACGATTGACGCGTTGAAAGACAATATTCGTCAAGTTATGACCGGGACATGCCTGAAATGTACCAAAAAGTTGCCAAAATTACCTCAACATAATTGTGTCCTGCAGGAGGTCTCGTGGAGGATATTCAAATGATATTATAATTCACACATAATGGCAATAACCACACTTTATAATGCCATAAAAACTTCATCGCAATCTCAATCTTTAGTGTCTTTTTTTTAAATTTATTTTATCAAGCTGAACTTGGATAACCACCCCTTATATGTTACGGTTAATATGCAAACTTGGCTAGTTTGTAAACTAGCTTGATAGTTTACAAACTAACCAACCCATTGGCTAATTTACTTGAAATTATCGAGGAAACTAAAATAGCTGGTTAGTTTATAAACTATCCAATGCAGTTTGGCTAATATGAGAACCATATTTTCTAGTAACACAAAATAGCCAAACCTTTGGCTAGTTTACAAACTAGCCAACCAATTTTTTGGCTAATCCACAGAGTTAAGTTAAAGAATTTGACGCTTCTTTAATAGATTTGTATAATAATAGAGCACATAATTCCCCACTTTACAACGAAGGAAATCTGGCAAAATATTAGCTTGTATGGAGGATTTGTTTGATATTATTAAAGAATTTCTCCATTCAACTGGGCACGGCGAAAGACAAGTTACAACAAAGCTAATAAATCAAAAATATTCAAATATTACCCAAGAAATTGTAGCTTTGTTCCTCTATGGATGTGAGAATTGCCAGGTGAAAAAGAAAAGCAAAAATTTTCCTTTTATTCATCTCTAAATTATCGAATAAGAAATGCCATGAACATTAAACTTTATTTGTAAATTAGCCAGAAAATTGATTGGTTAGTTTACAAACTAGCCAAAGGTATAAACCAGCTAATTTAGTTTTCTCAATAATTTAAAGTAAATTAGCTTAGACTTTTGGTTAGTTTGCAAACTAGCTGCTATTTTAGTTGAAATTGCGTTTTCTATCAAAATAGCCAGTGGGTTTGTTAGTTTGTAAACTATCCAGCTAGTTTACAAACTAGCCAAGTTTGCATATTAACCGTAACATATATATATATATATATATTTTTTTTTGCTTTTAACATGCAGTCTTTGGAAAAGAACCGGAATTCAGTCAAAAAAAGAAAACAAAACCCAAAAATGAGGTTGGAATGAAACTAAGCGGAGAAAATCTGGGGCTTAACTTAACTAGACTTGAAGTGGACCTTAAACAGCGGTGCAAAGCGAAATCGTAGTTTAACTTCCACTTAAGACTAAGGCTGACCTTAAGTTGTAGCGGTGCAAATAGCAGTAAATATATTATTAACTCCATATTCTTATTATTTATGTTATTGTGAAAAATACCTGAAAGGTGATAAAACCCCAATAGCAGGGCCGGATTAACCAAAAGGCGCAATTGGGCGATCGCCCAGGGGCGAAAAGTCAAAGGGGGCGAAAATTTTTAAAAAACTCCCAAGGAAAATAAGAGGGAAAAAAACAGAAAATCAGACAGCAAAATGACAAAAACTCGACTTCTTACACATAAGCCGTGTTCTTTTTTGTCATTTTTAGTGATGCCGCGAGACGAGACTAGACGAGACTTAGGGTTGGTCTCGTCTCGTCTCGACATCCCGGGACGAGACCGTTACTTAGTCTCGGTCTCGAGTACTAGAGTCTCGTCTCGTCTCGAGTGGTCTCGTCTGGTCTCGAGTTATACAGGGTGTCCAAAAAATAGCCTAAAAACTCTTCTCTACGTGGTGGAGGACCCTACAAGGAACCCCAGAAAAATATTTTAAAAAATCTAGTGGCATTCTTGAGAAAGTTATTTGCATTTTATTATTTATTAAAATTGGCAACACTGAAAATATCTTGTTGACAATATGTCAGAGAATGAAATTAAATAGGTACCCATGTAATTACCTGAAGAATTCGAAGGTGAATTTTCACATCTACCTCTTCATATTACCAAGAATATTGCTGGAGAAGGATTTTTTTAATTTAATTATTTTTCTAGGGTTTCTCAAAGGGTCCCCTACGACGTGGAGAGTTTTTACGCTATTTTTCGGACACCCTGTATTTATGGTTTTTATTTTTATATTATAACGGAATTCCAAACTGCCACAGTAAAAAAGCAATTAGTGAAAAATCGCAGTAAAGAGTAACCGTGATATTTAATTTACTGATTTCACATTCAAATAATCCAGAATATTCCAATAATAAAGCTATGAAAGAAAAATTTTGAGTGTAATCTCGAGACTTGAGACTACACGAGACTCTCGCCGAGTCTGGTCTCGTCTCGTCGAGACTTCACGAGACGAGACCAAAAGCCAGTCTCGTCTCGAAAAGTCGAGACGAGACGAGACGAGACGAGACCAGTCTCGAGTCTCGCGGTATCACTAGTCATCTTTTTCGGCGATTTGCTCCGAAATTTTGGCAGGCACTTGATCTGAAACTGTCTGATCCAGTCACGCCTGTCAAAGTTTCGAAGCAAATCGACGAAAATGATGCCAAAAACGAACACGGCCATAATATGACAAAATTTTGACCTTGGAACTGGATTTTTGTATAAATTTGTCATGATGATAGCTTTATTCGGGTTTGAAAAAGGACGGTTCTAAAATAGTTCAAAACAATCGCACAGTTCATCAATCAACAAAATGACAACGGCTCGGCTATCACAAACTTCAATAATAAACTGTGCGATTGTTTTGAACCGTTCTAGAACCGTCCGTTTTTCAATCCCGAACAGGCCGATTATCTGACGAAGAAATAAGAACAAAAGCGCAGCAACGTAAGGAAACATTTAAAATAGTGCTAGCGGTACGCCTCAATATTTGGGAAAATCCTGCAAATTGTGATAAAAGCAAAAAACTTGGAGAACATGTTTTTAGGACAAAAATAAAACTTTTTGCCTGCAGCACCCATCATAATTCTCATGTGGCCCCATTTTTGGCGTAATTTGGACCCGTAGTGGGGTTATAATTTCAAAATTGGCAATTAGTCACCAATTTAAACGCGAAAACCATCTTTTTCAAACACGAAATTCCTATTTTCGAGTAAGTGGACTGTAATAAGCCTAAACTTGTAGCTAAACCTTTTTTTGTTACCCATCGGGCCCCTAGGAGCGTAAATTGAAGGGTTATATAAATGTTCTGTTTGAAAACACGGGAAAAATTATACTATGTTGTTATATTAGTTTTTTTTTTTGTACCTTATTACACACATTTTCTAACGTGAACTCTTTTCTATATTCTTTGCCCAAGTGTTAAGGCCCCCACAGACGATCAGTTATTTTGCACAGGCCGACTGTGCAGGTCAATTTGCGCAAATTAATCGTACTCTTACCCCTGGCACACACGTTCAGTTTTTAGCACAGTTCTTTTCCCACAAGACGACAAACGCAGATCAAGGATATTTTTTCTCTATAGTAAAAATGGTTTGTGCAGGCCAAATTTCAAGCAGATCTTGAATTTATTCAGGCCAGGCCAATGGCCAGCACAGTCGGCCGGAAGTATCCACAGACGTGCCGATATGCCTGCGCAAACCAGGTTTGTACAGTCGGCCTGTACAAAATAACTGAGCGTCAATCCAATTGTCTCAGCTCGGAATTCAAGCTACAAGTCTCTAGCTGGTAATTTACAACAGCTAAGGCCTTACAAATAGAGACTAGAAGATGGTATAGAAGCCTTCCAAACAAACAAAGCCAAATGGCACAAATCTTATTGTTCTGTTAAATATATTGGTGACAATAAGTTCAAAAAAGTTTTAAATGGTGTACCTTTAGGTAGAGTTGCGAAGGTAAAATTACCGACGGTAAAATTACCAGTAACTTACGTAAAATTACGTAATATTACCCA